TTATGCTGAGTGAAATATCTCGGTCACAAAAGGACAAATACCACATGGTGCCACTGTTGTAAACCAGGACTGACCTAGGGGTTGGGGGGGAGATTGAGAAGGATAGATTCAATAATGTATACTGCATTGAAACAGATGAGGGAGGAAACTGTTTAAAAGGGATATGTGATTAGGTATTATTGTCATGACAGGAGTCCAGAACGAAGGCTGCATAGTGGAGTGGACTTGGGGGGAGGGATTGTATAACAATGAAAGAAGTTTTACTTTTAAAAGACAAGAATGAACTAGAGGGGAGGGGTGGGCCTGGAGAAAAGTACAACAATGAATGAATGGAAATACAAAATGTCTGTAAATTTTCATTAAAATTAATAATAAGATAAATGTAAAAAAAAAGAATGCTGCCTTGAGTACCTGGGAAAGGACAAGCCCTAGTAACTGGGGGGCCAAAGACTAAATATGGCTTTGTGGGTGCAGTCGAGCTATTGAGGAACTGGTACCACTTGTCAGACCTGGTCAACACCAAGGGCAGCCTGGGACTAGGAACAAAGACTACACATTCAAGAAACATTCCAGCCAGGGAAATTCCACCTGGACAAGTCCCCTGAAAGTATGCATGACCCAGATGCCACCCCAGCACAACCTGAGTCAGGTAACAGGCCCAGGACTGCAGAGAAAGGCAGTACACAGTGCTCTTTGGTTCTCACAGATAAGGGGAGATGGCTACACAGAGCTGGATGGATGACATCAGTGCACTTCTATGGAACTTTCCAGAACTTCCAACCGCTTCCTTAAACCCTGGAGGCAGAAAGGAGAAGTCGGAGGCATGGGCATAACAACACGGCTTCCCAGGAGGCCAGCTGGGCTGCCAGACACCGAGCAACATGGATTTTCCTGGGCGGTGGCCAGGGCCAGTCCAGGGGCTGAGGGCAGGCTGACGATGCGTGACGCCTTCCCTTGTGGGACTTTATTTATTTCTCAGGGTATTTTGTAGCCATTGATCACCAGCTGAGAGCAGGAGCCCCTGTCCCCAGGAGGCCCAGAGGGACTGAGGGACTTGCTTCTGGCTTTGCTATATTCTCCCAAGGGCCCTGTACCGTCCACTACGTCCTCGTGGTCAGATCTCCTGGACACCCTCGGAGCAGAGCAAATCTGAGACAGAATTCTCTGATTCCTTCCTGGAGGGGCTCAGAGGTAACGATGACTCCCTTTGAAAGGAGACCCCATCGCTGACTCCCAATCTCTGCAGGAACATGGCTTTAGTGTCCTCTCCACGGGGCGCTCAGCCCAGCGTCGGCCGAGCCTCTTGCAGGGAACCCCACAGGATCCAACAGCAGCCTGTTGGCTTGTCTCCCCATAGCCACCCAGATGATCCTTTTAAGGGCAGAATCTGCACTACTTCACGTCTGTGCCTGCTGGGGGTCCCTGCACGGAACACCCTTTCCAGCAGGTTCCTCTCAATCCATGATCCCTCATCTCACCAAGCTGCCACTGTCCACACTGCAGTCAGACCATACTTCTCCCCAATTCAGGCTTCCATTTCCAACCTCAGCCCGGCCCCCAGAGCTCTGGAAATGCTAGGTTATTCATCCGGTAATTGCTGGTGTTTCCTAATCTACCAGCTCCTCCATGGGAGAAAGATGGGCAATCGACTCCCATGTAATTAACTGCCTCTGAAAACCTGTTAGAGGGCTCCGTCCCCGCCCTAGGGCTCTGGAGATGCTAGAGGTTGATTTTACACGTGTGTGTGTGTGTGTGTGTGTGTACACACACACACATATATTCACAAAACTCATCACCATTAAGTTGAAACTGACTCACAGCTGACCCTCTGGAGGGGTTTCAGAGGCTGTAAATCACACTGGAGGAGAGAATCCATCTTTCTCCCTTGCAACATCATGGATTTGAGCTACTTCCTGCCTGTGGGTTGACAGCGGGGCTCACTCCACACCAGCCCCTACTTTAACCACCATCATCTCTCCTTTAGGGTTCATTAGGTTTTAGCTCAAATCAGTGAGATCTCATTCTCAGGCCAGGTGGTAAAGTACAACTCACAGAAATCTCCTGGGTAGAACTGGGTGGTATTGGGGTGACACTCTGACCCCCGATACACAGAGACCCCCCCACTTGGAAGGATTTGCTTAGTATGCTGGAGACCTTCTTTGGTTTAAGAGCCCCCCCAAGTCCTGCATTGAACCCCACCATCACAAAGTAAGAGAAGGATTCACTGCATTTGCATATGCGGCCTCCACATCTCTTTCAGCTCCAACTCCTCAGACTAGAAACACACACACACACACACACACACACACACACACACACACACAGAGCCAGCAGCAGCCTTTCTCAGCAGGAAGGAAGTGAGCAGGGCAGCGGGCTTTCTAAAGCCGGGGGTCAGCTGGGCAGTTCTGAGGGACAGCGACGTCACGGGAGTCGGGGTGAGGAGTGCTCCACAGGGCTCTGCGTCGCTGCACTGCCAACAGCAGATCATGAGGCATGCTGCCGTGCCTCTGGATGGTCTTGAACCCACAACCTCTCCAGTTACCAGCTGAGCACATCAACACTGTGGGGCACCAGAGGCTCCCGGCGGGAATAAGTGGGGAGTAAGATGGGGCTGCCCCAGATATGGGGAGAGAGCAGCTCAGACCACAAGTGCCGGGCAGCCGGCTTCCTGTGTGGGCCAGACCACACCATCGGTCACTCCCTCGGGTTCCTCTTCTGGGACAGCAGAGTAGTGTCATTCAGGAATGTGTCCTTGTTGTCACCATCTCAAGGATGTAGAAGGATGAAAAGGGTGCTAGTGTCCACTGGCCAGGTGGTTGCTTTTAACCATGTAAGTGCTGGACTGCTGTCCGGAGGCCGGTCTAGCCCCACTCCTTTACCTCCTCATCCCTCCCTCTGAACCTGCCTCTCCCGCTGATTGTCCGTCCACCCCAGGCCCCACCCCACTCCTCATCTGAGTGTCTCTTACAAGGCTAATGGTGACTCTCAACATCTTGACGCTGTCAGCTTGACCCTGGACCCATGGCGTCCCCAGGCCTGCACCAGTCCCATGAGCAATAGCACAGTGTACCACTATCGTCTCTAGGATTTCCTCTGGTTGATTTTTGGAAGCAGGTTGCCAAGCCTTTCTTACGTGTCTTAGACTGGATTCTGCTGAAACCTATTTATCATCATAGCAGCAGGCAAATCTCCATGGTCTGAGGGTGAAGGCTGTGCCTGAGGCACACTGGCTGGGAATCGAACCTAGGTCTCCCACGGGGAAGGTGAGAATTCTACCACCTAACCATCTGTCATCGAGTGATGGGGATACTTGTTCAAAAGAACTGCTGTCCCTCCCTCCTTGTCACACCCTCGTGGGAGGGTTTCTACTGCCTCCTTCCCCTGGAGTTGCCATGTGACCTGTTTTGGCCAATGAGATATGAGGGGCAGTGACACCTGCCACCCTTGTGAGGGACCTCAGGAAGTCATGATGGATGGATGTCCTCTGCGTTCTCTCTCTCTCTCTCTCCCCCTCCCTCTCTCTTTCTTCCCCTCTCTCCTTCTCTCTCCTCAGCTCTGAGACTCGTTGTTCTCTCTGCCCAGACTCCAGAATGAGGTTTCTGAAGAGTCTCTTAGGATCAGAAATGCACCTTTGCTACCTCATGCCTTGAAGTCTGGTGCACTGCTGTGGTTATGTGAAGTCAGTCCTTTCCAATCCAACACCCTGCCTGGTCCCTATCCTCACTGCTGTGTGTGAACTCATTGTGGACACCATGTGCCAAGCCACCTCCTACTTTTCCAAGCCTGATATCCTCCTCCAGGGAAGTGGTCTCTCTTAATAACGTGCCTAAAGCCGGTGAGACCAAGCCTCCTTATCCTCTTATCTCTGGCTCCTGCCACTGTAATTTTAAGAGATATTTGTCCACTTTTCATTTTAAAGCTCCATTTCACATACTTTGGGCATGTGGCCAGGAGAGACCTGTCCTTGGAGAAGGACATCACGCTTGGAAGGGTGGAGAGACAGCATAGGTGAAGAAGACCCCAGATGAGATGGATTGATAGAGTAACTGAGGCAATGCGAGTTGACGTGTCAAAATTAATGAGACTGGCTCAGCACAGGGTAGGGTTCAGAGCTGCTGTACCTAATACGGTCGCTATGGGTCGCAGGCAACTCGAGGACACATAACAACAACAACTTCTTGGGATATCTAATATTCTTCACCAACACTATAACTAAAAAACATCAATTCTTCCTCACTCTTCCTTATTGTCCATCTTTTGAATAGTTGTGTTGTTATTGCTGTTAGGTGTTGCTGAGTCAACCTATGAAGAACGGATCGGAACTCTGTCCTACCCTGTGCCGTCCT